AGATATCAAGGAAGTTCCAGACTAGAAAGAAGACTTTATATTGTTTGTAAGTTTGTGAAACATTTGTTTATAAAGCATTAGAAACCGACAGGCCTAAAAAAATTTGTGATAAAATTATGTAACCTCTCGACATGTTTTCTTTTCACATTCTTCCTGATTTTTCTGTTTTGAATTTAAAATCAGGGGCGTATAAATATGGCATTTCAGGTCTATCTTTTATTTTCCAAATGTCACTGCCCAACTGACGATATCTGGTATTAAACGAAAGGCTTCTTAGCCAGTGACTTGTGGGAAAAAAATTAATTAATATCTTTGTGTAAAGTCTATACAGAGACAACGAGTTTAAAACTTATGCATATAAAAAAAAGAAAAAAGTAGGTGACGCCCCATTTAAAACAGATAATTTTTCAAGTTTTTCATGCTAAATCGAAGCTGTTTAGTTATTAATGAAACAGTTTATTAAGCAACATTAGCCTAATATAAAAAGAATAGTTTAACAATTATTGTACTTTAGAATATGGCACTTGTGTAAAATGCTTTAAAAATAAATATACAGCGTTTAAGATTGTACAATAATTTTATTAAAACCAAAAGGAGTGTATAACTACAAAGTGAGCAAGATAAATCTATCAAATTCAGAATCTTTGGTTGCAAAAATAAAATTAATGCCGTGTTCATGTGAATTCCTATGAGTCAATAAAATATCAGAAAAACAACAGATGTTTATATTCCTATTTAAACCAGGCTTTTACTAACAAATTTTCAAACTTCAAAAATTTCAATATTCCCATTCGAAGCTATTCAGTTATTAAAGAAACATTTTATGTCTATACCTCTAAAAAAAACAAAAACAAGAGGGAATCCTCAATAGCTGCGGCACTTGAAGTTCTTGTGGGCAGGATTAGAATAAATTAACCTATGAGACTTTTTTTTCCTTTTTATTAGCTTTATGTTTGTGCGCCATCAATACCGAGCGTGGGGCGCGCGTATACCCGATTAATTTTTATTACTCATCAGGATCTTTACCAGCCTACTCTCAAATTATAATTATTATAGGCAATATTACAGTAAATTAATCAAATAAATCACTCGAAAGGGTTTGACATTCGGAGTCCAAAATTGTAATTATATCTTAAATTAGTCATGAGATGACGAAGCTATGAGCTAAAAGTTTGTACTTGAGAAAAACAACAACGAAACAACTCAGAGCCATTCTATGAGTCGCTAAAAACTATATTTCACGACTCACTGAATAAACTGCTCGAGAAATCTGGGCGCCTTCTGATATTACCACGAGGATCAAAAAGGATTAAGAATCCCCGATACATTACCACAAGTCTTAACAGCGAAATCGCGTCTATTTACACATATTAAGTATCGCCAATCATAAATTTTGTTCATACACAACTGGGTATTAACAGGAACAGTAGTGGTACAGCCTGTCCAAATATTATCTTCTATAGTGATAAGTTCATGAAATGTACAGGGTAGACTAAAAGCAACTAAAAGACTCTAGAGCAACGTTTTTCAAACATCTGATACCAGGGGCTAAACTGTCACGAACCACTAAAACGCAAGTACAACAAAAAACATTATGATTTACATATGAATATTTCGTCACTTTTTCTTTGTTTATTTTCGTAAAATCCCTCGAACAGGCAAAGTGGTTATAATGGACTGGTTTTTACGAAACAGTGCTCTAGATCGTGTATATCGTGTACACCAATATCTATTCAGATAACATATTTTAAGCACAGTAATTAATAAGGTGAAACATATTAGTTTAATATTTTTTTCTAATATCACAAACTTGTGCTACCGCCTTCCCTGAACTAACTGAAAAATTAAATATTTATTAAGTGTCAAAGTCTTTATGCTTGGATAAAGCCCTCTACAGCGGAAGTAGTTATCGGGATACCCCTGCGCCCAAAGAATTCCGCCTGAATGTGGGAGGATCGCCAGGTTAGAGGAGATCAAAAGATGGCGCCTGAGGGTTTAATAATTGTTGCGTAATATGCAAAGGATATCGCGGCCTGCGGTTACATAAATGTTACGTAATAGGCACTACAGGGGTGACAAAGTGATGGCGTCACAGTTCCATGAAGTGGCACCAGAGAGTGCGGCTGTCTTAAGGGGGGTGATATCGTAGCTCCACAATACAACGCCAAAAGGGCGCGTTGGTACGATGAGTGCGCTGATAGTTCGCGAGTAGACCAATAGAGGGTGATGTTGATCAATAGATAAACATGTCATAGACTTTATAGTAACAATCACAGTCTTAACATTAATAATTTATCTAATTTGCATAATATTGTGTTTAAAATTATCAGTACTGAAATGTTTTTAATATTTATCACAATTGCAATTTCACTTTATAAGTAAAATTTATATTAAATCTGGTATTTTAATCTGTTTCTTATCATTATCGCCAACTTTATTGTTTACACTTACATACTTAATTGCATTAGCTAAGTTCTACAAAGGCAGATGGTGTTTCTATAGGTCGATAGTGTTACTACAGTCTCATGGGACTCCATACAGATTTAAATGTGTCTCAACATATGCTTATAGGTTTCATTTATATTTTTAACTGTGTTACATTTGTTTCAAAAGGGTGGATAGTGTTGCTAGAGGAAAACAGTGTTACCATATTTCCGTAGGATTCCATACAGATTTCAACTTATGTTTATAGTTTTCCTTTAAATATTTAACTGCATTACATGTCTTTTAAAAAGGCAGATGGTGTTAATAGGTGAATTGTTGCATTACTAGGGTTCTATACGCGGATGATATTACTTGAAAAATCATGTTACTATAAACGGATAGTTCAGTAGGATAATGAGCTCATCCTGCAGTGTCTCCGCTTTTGATTACATCATAAATGTCTAGATTTAATTATTTGTCCTAAAACATTACAAGTAAAACTGTTATTTGAACTGATCGTGTTTTCAGTTAATAATTAATTGGCACATTAAATTTATAATTTATTATTTTTGAATTTATGTAGTAAATATAAGATTATGTTGACTTTGAACAATTTATTTTCAATGCTAAGTATATGTACGAAATTTATATCTTAGTAATGAATGTATACTCATAAATAGCTACTTGTATTATGTATTATATTTGACTTGTTCAACTTTTGTTTTCATAAAATTTTCGTTTCTGTTATATTGAACTTTGATTTAAAAGGTCGACAAGCCGTCAACTGTGATGCATCAGACTAAATATCCAAGAGAGTTTAAGTGTAAGTGTCCACACAATTTGATGATTGTAGTTGTTGACCTTTCTATCATTTGCGTTTGCGTTTAGTGTTAATTACCCACAGATAGAAGCAGAAATAATACTTATATACAGTAGTTTGATTAATGTTCAAAATGAAATATCTACAGAAAGGTAAGCATAATGATTCTCTACAGTAGTAATAGTTAAACATAACTGTTTATATAGATCCTTTAAAACAAAACTTCAGAGAAATAAATCAACTTATAATGCTAAACATGAAATTATTGTATATTATTTACAGATTTAAATAAGGATCCTTTTCAGAGGCATAGATGTCATACAATATATTAATTATATAAATGAATTAGCAATAAGTGTTTTACATATAAAACGTCAGAAAATGCGAATAGTATGCCATACAAAATTAAATATAGAAGTGAAACTATAATCACTACGTTAAATGTGTAATACATCGACACTTAACAAACACAATCGGCTATACAACCTGTCTTATCAACCTGTTCAATGTTTATAAAAATGATACATTGTGTATGATAACTTTTTGGGATGTATATGAATTATAGAAGCGAAAACAAAAGAAAGAATGAATTACCAAAGTGTTTTATAGATAAAGCAATTGAAAATTGTAAAAAGTCTATGCTATAATATTTGCATCGTTAAAATAATGGTTTTACTTGTCTTCACAACGTTTATAGCGTGTGCAAATTAATTATTAACTGAAAACACGATCAGTTCAAATAACAGTTTTACTTGTAACTTTTTAAGATAAATAATTAAATCCAGACATTGATGACATAACCACAAGCTAAGACACTGCATTATGAGCTCATCATTTTATTGAACTATCTATTTAGAATAACACATTCACCCTAGCAGACCTAAAGCTTGACAACATGACTTTCCAAGTAATACCACACGCCGATAGAACATTAGTGACACCATCTGCCTTTGTAAAACGTACCTAATATAAGCGTAAACCATAAAGTTGACAATAATGATAAGAAATAGATTAAAATAGCGGGTTTAACGTAAGTTTTACTTAAAAAGCGAAACTGTAGTTGTGATAGAGATTAAAACCATTTCAGTACTGATAATTGCAAACATAACGTTATGTAAATTAGAAAAATTATTAACGTTAATACTTTGATTGTTACTGTAAAGTTAATTACATGTTTATCCATGGATCTACATCATCATCCGGTGTTTCACTCAAGAAAGATCTCCGCAATCATCATACCAATGTGCCCTTTGGTGCTGCATCGTGGAACTAACTATAATGTCACTCCTCCCCTAATACAACCGAACCCTTTGGAGCCACTTCACTCTGTCACGCCCCTGGTGTCTATTACATAACAATTATGTAATCCCGCAGACAGTGAAAACCTTTGTATATTACGTAACACTTATGCAACCCTCAGGTGTGGACATCATTTGGAGATTAAGCAACAGTTACATAACACCTTTGGGTGTAGGGGTATCCCTATAACTACTAGCGGAGATCAAGACGGTTACCGAAATGGGTACTTACTTTCGAATCTGCCAGGGAATGATGAGAAGCCCGTGAAGTATCAAAGTGCAAACTTTATTGAATTTTTCATCATTATGGGAAACACCAGATATTTCTTCAGGAATGTGTGAAAAACTGTCACCTCCTCTTGCAAAAGCCTCAAATACTCGATATACAGTGTAGGTGATTACAGGTAACAACAGGCACGTCAGTGAAATGACGAACAGGTGAAATTCTCCACTCACGAAGTACTTCTTTGTTGCATGGGAGTCACCCGAAATTTTACCAATGTATTCAGCCAGTTCATAAATTCCGAATACCAACATAGTCGGGAAAAAGATTTTTTCGAAATACGAAGAAATACAGCGTTGTGACTCGGACTCCAGTGAATTAGGTGCATCTTTGTTCATCAAATCTCTTTCTTGCGGCTTTGAACACAAAATATTGAAATTTGGATTTTAGCCATCTCAAATTCATTTATGAAGATATGATACTAACTAACATTATATAGAAACTTTTATAAGTTTTAATTACAAAATTGCCAGTAATGAAACAACGGAAATAAGTGTTATATCTGATTAATTTTTCAAGAATTCTTTTATTTAGCTGTAAATTTTAGCTAATTAGGTAATGTGATATCACAAACATTTATTTTACGTGTTTACAAAAGTCACATAGTAAATAATATTTTAACCTCCATCGACTAAGCAGGTTTTGCATGTGAACTGAAGAAGAGAAACATTTGATCAATTTCTGAAAGGAGCTTTAGCTGCTTACCGAACTAGCTACAGATAAGCTTATAGATGTAGTACTTTAACCTGGCGTCACCTGATTGGACAATTTTTCTTGTGAGACTTGTCATGTAGTGAACAGAATTTGAAGCAAAAGATGTTTAGATTATAAGTAAGTGACAAAGGAAGTAAATATACCTTAAACTTTAAGCGACAAAGTATCTACCTTCCTCCTCCCTATCTATCTATCGGCCCCCCCCCAGTGGCACAGCGGTATGTCTGCGGACTTACAACGCTAGAATCCGAGTTTCGATACACGTG